ATTGGCCAATTCTGCTATGGGTTTGGGTGACTGCGCCTCATGATGCCTTTTTAAAAGCACTTGGGAAGTTCCCCCTGATTGACTGCACGGCCACACGTGATTAGATCGACACTTGTGATTAGTCACAGGCCAGCCTTTGAGCAATGTCTCTCTGCGTGCCGCTACTGCGCAGCTGAGCCAAAGCAATACCCATGCGGGCCTTTGGACGGTGTAAGGTTTAGAGATAGTCTGCACGATTTGCAGCCATTTCAACGCTAATGCAACTCGCACACATGTTGTACGTATGACGTAAAAAAAATAATGGGCAGTTTGGATGGTGTATTAAAATGATGAGTATTTTTTTAAAATGCTGATAAAAATAAGAATAATTGCATGTACATTTGTTTAATAAACAATCGAGAAAATTCAATCACGATGCATAATAAATTAGCATACATTATTTCCGCCTGAAATAATTGATAATTATTTTCACGCTAATCACGCCGACCCAAAAGTTGCGAAGCACCATATATCCTGAAATGGCTTCAAATGGCTTCATTTCCAGACCTAGCACAGAATTACATGGACTTTTGGAAACAGAATTCTAATTGGTTTTCGTGTTGTTGTTTTTTTTACTGGCTGAAAACGAGCGAACGACCGAAAAATGCCTAACAAGGTTGGTTGCCCGTCCAAATGAGAGCACACGGTAAGGCGTGGCACATCTGCTGGCCTACCAAAGCTGAGATCCAGCATAGTTTCTCTGGCTGGGAGATTCATCGCGATATGGTGGCGTAAACAGCGCCCGCTGCCTCGGATCGCCTGCAGCTGTGAGAAGTGTGTCAAAACCAGCTTAGCCGCGTGGCCTGCGGGACCAACCCAGCTGCACTCTCTTGAGAGGAGGGCGAGGGGGTGATGGCGAGGTTTATAGGGGAGGGGTGTGTCGGGGGGAGGGGGTGTGGAAGAGGTTGGTGCTGGTTTGGTGTGTAAGGTGGTGGCTGGGTGGGTGGGAAGGAGAGGGAGGGGAGGGGGTGGCATGAGGTAGGGAGGGTGGGTAGTAAGGTTGGTGGGTTTGAGGAAGGGGCTGGAGATGTTGTGGGCCCTGGGGTGAGATGGCGAAAAGAGGGCGGCTCGCTCGGGCCAAAGGAGACGGAGTCTGGAACGCGGCCAAATTAGCTCGTGGTGTCGTTTTTATTTAAATGTCATGGAGATGCGTCGAACATGGCCCGGACATTATCTTTGCTTGCGCGAGAGGAGTGTTTACTGAAATCCGCTCATCTTTAAAATGCATGATTAAATACAAACAGCGTGCAGCGTTATGGAGTCGCCCGACTATATGGATGGTTATCTATGTTTACGTACATTACATTACGGGTATTGTTAATGCTGTCCGCGTGCAGGCGTGTGTGTGTGTGCGTCTTGAAAAGCTTGTTTCGTGTGCTGTCAGTGAATGTAATTCCATGTGTAAATGGAGTTTTGAAACACAAACGTTTCATTAGAAATGTTACAAGTGCAATATTTCTTATGGAAAGGCCTCTACAATTCATTGAGTGAATGCCTACTGTGCAGACGAGAGGTCAATTGAAGGTATCAGTGATATCCGCTTTCTTGGGAAATTTTCTCACAAAAGGTTACACTGCTCTACAAGAGATCTACATGGGTACTTCACCTCTTGCCATGACGCGGATACCACATTCAGGATAAGAATGTAGGGGGCACTGACAAAATTAAACAAACACTAATCAGTGTGATTAAGTTGTATGTGTGCATGCTTATGTGCTGTGACATCAGTAGTTGTACAACTAACTTGTGGAATTCCATACGTCAATTCTTGTCTTCGAAATTATATTTAATGACCTTTTTTCTGTAATATATTTCAATGGATTCCAATTTAACCATCATAGTGTCATGCTTCCTGCTAATCAAACGATATGCTTTGCTTATTAGAACAAAGACAATGATCTACCGTATTGCCTTTAACAGACAGTTGTGCCAAGTGCTGTTAGCGAGCACCCGTGAAGGTCAATATCTTGTATAATGGGGTGAGTGGCCAACACGATGCCTGCCTGCCTCGTCTCCCCAGTGCTGATATTTACACACTGCACCAGGTAGAGTAATCATTTAAAGCTGAGTCGACCTAGGGGATGCCCAGGACAGGTTCAAATATTCACCACGGTGAGCAGCCATCGTACTGGCGTCGTTTTTTTTTTTTAGCGGTGCACTAACCACTGTGCCACCGCTCCCCATCAGAAGCACGAACAGACACGCGTATACGTGCAAAACGCACGTGTGCCCGATTAGTAAATGTTTCAAGCCACCGTTTGGACCATGCCATCCTGTTTTTGGTTTGATCCACGTAACACCGATGAGCAGCAACATCAAGAGCAGTGGAGGAATTAAATATCGATGGCATCTGCATCTGACGCGCGAGGTATCAATTGGAAAGTTGTAAATCACGCGGCGGACCACATTTTTAGATCGCAGCGTTTGCTTTAAATCAAAATCTCTTTTCATAACATTGTTTTTATAACCTTTAACAACCCACAAAAAACGCAACATGCACTCTTATGATCGTCTTCATTATAATTATTCTCGGCCTTTCTTTTCGGCGACGCATCATCGCGAAGTTATATTTGGATTTAGTAATTGCACCCGCAGCCTCTCTCCACAAAGCAGGTGGAATAACGAACTTATCTCCCTTTATTACGCTGTGCACCAGAGGTCACACAAGCGGTCTTTTCATTAATTTCTTAAAAATCAGGAAAAAGTAAAGTTTGTTTTATTTTTTCCGTTGAAATTGTTGCGAAAGTGGCGGCGCCAGCGGTTTGGCGCTGCACTGCGCTATGGCTACTCGATAATCTTAGTCCGATTGCTGACCAATTGCTAAAGCACCAGTGGTTGGTGATATCTCAACTGGCTCTTGCCCTCATCGCTACTTCATCCGAAAAAGCACGTGACCAGCTTGGTGAAGTGTGGTCACCGCACCTCCGATTAGCACGGTTAACTACGTACGGGGTGAAAGAAGTTCAACATACATACGTGACCAAGCAACCCCCATATGACTGACATGGCAATATGAGGCTTTCACCCAGCAGTAGATTGACAAAGTGCCATGAAAGTAGTATTTTAGATTTGTATACATATATGTTTATGTTCATGGATATGCACCGTTAATTTGTTAGCGCTTTAATTTGAAAATATCAAATATTTTGTCAAAGCTGACATGGAATTAATATGGGTTCCCTTGTTAAGCTATTGGAGTCAGGTTTGGTTTTGAGGTATTTGTCGGTCAAAATTTTTGTTTTACATTTGCTGTGGATGTTGTCGTCTATTGTCTGACACATAAATGTCTCATCGTGACAGTCATAATTGGCAACTTCGAACAAATCCATTTTGTGATGGCGTTACACCGTGCTATATATATAAAAGTGGATTCATGTGTGCAGTTAGGTCATTACCATCGGCAGTTGATTTACCGCTTAAGGTAATTAAACAGAAACAAGTCAGATCAACACCTGCAGAGGTTGAGTGATGCTCGTATCCAGCGAGCTAATTTGTCCGAGTGTCAGGGTACATCGTTAGAGCATCTGTTTTCTTTGATCTGCCACCCTCGTTGAAGTGTGCAAAAAAACTGCTGCAATAATTATTTTTCTCATCACTTACACTCTAGTTATTCAAAACTGTGGTCCCTTTTTTAATGTCTTGTTTACGATACTTACTGCATTATTAAGTAAATCAAATATTGCCGACTCTCTCTCCTTCCGTTATTTTTGGCTTGATTTAAAATTATTTCCAAGGAGAATGGCATCGTAACAAGGTGACGGTTTTTAACACAAAATGCGGCTGTAAATAAAACACGTTCATTAAAGAACTAAGCCTTCCATCAGCTCACTTTGCCCTTTTTAATTTCCATAAATTATTTAAATACAGTTTTTTAATGAACACCCTTTGTTGTGCTTTTAAGAATTGCACGTAAAAAAAACGATTTAATGTCATCTTATATTCCGGTGCATTTCTTGCTTAATTACGACGAAAATAAGTCATATTTTATTTTATGAACACAGTTGTACTTGGGCTTATATCTTTTTTTGCAATATTCTAATCAAAAATACCCCACCATATTTTTTTTTTGCTGCACATTTCAATCTGGCCCTTTCCCTGCAAACATCGTGTGTGTGTCGCCATCTCTGCAGGCCTTATCTGTCCCTAATGCTTATAAGTGCTCCCCCGGACAGAGCTGATGAGCTCATCAGACGGAGCAGCCTAGTCAGCGAGCGTGAAGGGTACCAGGAACTTGTCATCCTGACAGCTAGGGAATTCAGATGCAAAAATTATGTAGAAAACTTGACGTTTGCGAGCCAGCGCAGATAGCGTAAGTGGGATTAATAGTCCCTGAATCATCAGCTTTCGGGGCTGCTACATATTATGCTGTGTCACACGTCCTGTCGAAGGTGTCGTTACAAAAAAAATGGGCCCGTGTCTTCGACGGGACAAAAGACACCTGGTCGCATTCAAAAAGGGCTCCTTCCTTTGTTTTGTACAAGAAGGAGATGATTTTCGGTTGTGGAAAATAATAGGAACGTCACGTAAGAATGTTTCATATTTACAAATGCCTCCCCCTCCCTAAAAATGTTTTAACTTTAAAACAGTCTGGCTTTCTTCTACATTTCAACAATATATTGTGACTTTGTCACGTGAATATTTTTACACTCAGCAACATACTTACATGGGATGGTTTAAAAGCGCGAGATTGCAGGTGTAGTAAAATAACTAGAATACACAAGCAAAAGGGGATGGGGGGGGGGGTGAAGACGAGCTAAATAATTGTTTAGCTGCGAGCAGGAGCCGTCCCTAGATTATGATGAAACCTGCGCGCCAGATTTAAAGGGGGGAGGAGAGATAAAGCACAGGCTAAATAGTCAAAGAGGTGGTTGGTCGAGTGGTGGGTTGAGGTGTGGGGGTGGGTTTTGGGGAGGAGGTGGCTGCAGGAGGAGAGGGTGGGGTGGGGGCAGAGCAAGGGGAGGGGAGCCAAAAAAAAAAGTTACTGCTGTTGGCCAGAGCCCTGGCTAGTCCATGGCTTGTGGGGTAATCAGGCCCCTGGAGGGTCCAGAGTGCTGGGAAGAATGGTCTATCGATCCGGTGCAGGGGAGATGGAGAGACGGTCGTCGGGACCAAGGCTGCTGCCGCTACTGCTGCCGGAGTGAGAGGGAGAGAGCGGCAAGACTTCTCGACTCTGCCTCCGCCGCTGGAGCACAACGACGGCGCTTGCTCGCTCGCTCGCTCGGCGGGGCGAGCGATTGCTGCTGCTGCTGCTGCCCACCGCCGCCGGCCGCGACCTGGGGCTCCGTGTCTCTATTCCGTGCGTGTGAGCGAACGCGCGCGCGCGCGCGAGAGAGAGAGGGAGAGACGGAGAGAGACGGGGAGAGCGCACGGAGCGAGGGACGGGGGAGCGAGCGCACGGAGCGCGCGCAATGTTCCGGTGGCCGCTGAGACGCGGGCGGGCTGCGGGGCCGCGGATTGCCCGCGCCGGCTTCTAACCCCCCCACCCAACCCCCTCTCCTCCTCCTCCTCTTCCTCCCCCTCCCTCTGTCTCTCACCGTAGCTGCCGCACGTGGACTAGCCAAACTTCGTCACCGCGATGTCTTCTATCATCAACAGCGTAAGCTCCTGCATCATTATTATTCTAATTGTCCTGCATGTTAAACGCTCGGCTTGTTTGGTTTTGTTGTTTATTTGTTGGAGAAAATGTGCGTGGTTTCTCTCGGTGTCGGGAGCGTTGCGCCCTTTGTTATTTTCGTTCACTTTTAGGTGTCGGACTTTCGTCTCTCGCCCGTTCTGAGTGCGGCGATAACCGCCTCGCTTACTGTGCTCTTTTAAAAAGTAAGGAGCTCAAGGTATGCGCGTGTAAGAGAAAGAACTTAAAGCTGTTAGTTTAATCGTACTCGTTCATGAACTTGGAGACGCTAGTATTTATTAAGTTGAACGTCTGGATTCGGTGTTGGTGTGCACAATTGAATTCCATTTTACATTTTAGGATGGAAATATACATCTTGTAAATATTTAAGCACTTTTGTTTGAAATAATGAACGTAGAAAGTGGAAATGTGCGTGTGTGCTGAGCACAAGTAAATACATTGTAAATAAATGAAAGTCTCTCAGACATTGACTTTGTGTTGTTGACAATCAGACCGAAAGAATGTTTTTTTTCTTTTCGGATAAAAATAGTGGTAGACAACTAATTAATGGAATGTATACGTGTGTCATTAGATATCTATAAATATAACTCTACATTGTTATGGAATCAATAATTATTGCATTAGATGTCATCTTGCGTTACCAATTTTGTAAATCGTTTTTTTTTATTTCTGACAATGCACCATATTTAGTGTTTAGTTCCTTCATTCCCTATTGTTGGTGTAGTTAAAAATCTATCCGTATAATTGCGAGTGATAAAACCGTGCATTTACTTTTGTAACGATTTCTTAAAACTGTTCATGGAGAACGGGGGGGGGCGGTGGGGTTCACGAAGTGTAACTGAATCGTCGAATCGAAGCCAGCTTGAGTTTCCGTCGTACGTCCGCTTGCTTCGAGCAAAAGAGAAGCACCTCTTTGCACACGTATACTTGACAATAATCCCCATTCAGTTCGAGTCAACTTAAAAAAAAGAGGGAGGGGAAAAAAAAGCCCCCATAAAGGGTCGTTATGTATGGCCACAGCTGGAGAGAGGCCACCGGCACTGACAAAGCCATTCGCTTTTCTGTTTGTGTCTGTCTATCGGCCGCGTGTGCTGTTAATTTGTCTCTCACCGGTGTCAGGTAGATCACAGCGCGCGGTAGCAGCTGCCTTGAGTTAGTCGTCTGCAGCAAAAATTGCAGTTTTTACAGAAACGCGAGACCGACCGGCCACTATGCACATCTGGAATTCAGGTGGGAAAGGTATATAGTGGCTGCAGGCCAAATAAGGGCAGAACATTTTAGGATTCCTTGCGCTGGGATAGGGATGTCGGAGGCCTAATAAAGCCGAATGTTTATAATCTGCCGCGGTGCCCCCTGACTGCTCCCCTCTCGTCACCCTCATATAATTTTTTGCGGCGATAACCGTTATTGCATTGAGGTTGAGGTGGCTTTCTTAAGCCACGGTCTGCAGCACGACCGTGTGGCTTAACTCTCCTAATCTGAGCGGCGCAGAGTGTTCCAAGTCTGCAGCGGCGCAAGAATTCGGGACAGATCCCGCCCGGGAGCCCGCAGGGACAGATCACGCTGCAGCCAAACGCAGCCAGACCAGAGAGCATCTGGTTTTGATTGATATGCTTCCAGTGCAATTCCTGCACCGAAAACTGAGGCATGGCTAGCAACAGTGCGAGGTGTGAGAGAGCCAGGGTGTAGGGAGACATGAGAAGAGAGAGAGAGGGAGGAAATACAGAACGGTTGTCGGTCCTCTGGGATGACCACAGAAAGGAAACCGGGGCCACCCTGGAGGGTTGGGAAGCAGAGGAGGGTGAGCAGATTCAGACGTAGGAGTGAAAGGCCTAGTGACATGTGTTCGGATTGCCACTGCCCAGTGCGCCCCCCCCTCCCTCCCTCCTCCTCTCCATTCCTTTGCCTTCCCCCTTTTGCTCACCCCTCCCTGCTCCCCCTGTGCTCCCTTGAGTCTCTGCTCACCTCTCTCTTCAGATCTTGGCTCCCCAGGAGAGCAGTTCCAGCCAAACTCCGCAGTTCAAAGCATTCTGATTTTGTTCATCCACACTCGGCTGGAGTGACATGCCTTGACGGGAAGGCTGTTAATTGGCAACTCTAGGAATAATCCTATTACGTTGAACATCTTTCCCTTAATGAGAGTAATTGCCACAAGCATGGATACACGCAGCACACAAAGCCGGGCACGACCAGGGACCTGTCCTTGCGGTGAAATTTGGTGGAAATGTAAAAGTAGCTTAATTAATTCCTTCAAATAGCCAGAACAGCGGTCGGGCCTTTGATATTGGAAGAGACAAGCCACAGTCGAGAATTTTGCTAATTGGGATTCTAATTTGTCGTTCGAATGCGGCAGTGGTTGTTAGGCAGACTGCAGTGGGAGTTGAATCTCTGTCCAATGGCTTCCCAGGACACCGGCTGCATAGAAATTCATATGAGTTTGCACAGATCATTCCTACAACTGTACTCACAGCAAGGGGCATCGGGTCTTTGGTCCTTTGTGAATTATATAGCCTAATGAATGTGATAATTTTAGAATGTGATTTGCCACCCATTCCACAATACGTGCGGTCCGCTGGCGTGCGCGTGTCTGACTTGCGCGGCTTCCGGAATACGACAGCCGTATGTACACATTTAGATTTTTTTCATGACAAATGAATATGGGTACATTGATCGGGAGTGATAACAGCTCTTCTCATTAATTACGTTGCTGGGGGAGGGGGAACCCACTCCGTTGCTCAGTGTTATGAAGCAGAAAGACGTACTGTGGTAAAATGTGTGAAGTTATCTCAATATTTATAGTCGGTAATTGAGTTGTTGAGATGCTTGAAATGTAAATATACATTAATTGCATTACTCAGCATAAAATGTGGCCTGTTAAGTAATAGCTCTGATGATTGACTCGAGCGCTTGCTTTATTGAAACGCGTATGACAAATATAACTCCCCGTGACAGTCGGTGGCAGTGTTTATTACTTCGACGGTAATTAGCGTTCCTGGAAAAGCGAACGTTCTTAATTGCGGTTGCAATTGTATATCAGCACGTGCTGATTATGAATAATCGCTGTGTACATATGAGATGGCGTTTGACAGCGTGGCGATGGCACAGTAAGCAGTCCTCCAGTAAACCGCGTTTGCTGGCACTCACCATGAGGAGATGTCACGCTGTCTTGAATGGTCGGTTTCCTTTTGATTAAGGATATTTAATAAAAACGAGCCCAACAGTTTTATATTCATTCATTTTCATCACGTAAAAATTATCTTTTCTCCTCGGCTGTTTGTTGCGGCTAAAAGGCAATGCAATTCATGTGCGAAAACTGTAATGCATTCTTTACTTTCGCATATTTGTTTTTAACAGTTAACTAACAATGGGAGGACTTCCCTAAGATTCCACTCATTAGGCCCCCCGATGTACTAGCCCACTAAGGGCTACAAAAGGACACGTTATTTATGTCTCGTTTTGTTCTCATTTTGAGTTTGAACAAGTTATCAAAACGCTTCAAAAAATCCCACACATCAGAATCTTTCGGCAAAACATATTAGGTTTGCTTATATGCAGTCCACAGCATGAAAAAAACTAATTGCTACCCACAGTCAAATGTCGTATTAAGAAAACAAATGGACAAGTGTTTCTTACGATACTTTCAGTTGTATTTGCCTGGCTTAAAACCCACCGCGTACATGGCTAATATGTTTTGTGTGTTTTATGTGCATATAAGGCCCTGTTATCAAGTAAAATAAAAATGATAAATATATCTGTAACGATGTAAATTGGTTGTAATATTAGGCATATATAGTTTCTAATGTTTTGCCTTACAGACACTTTAATTTAGTGGCAGGCATTTCAATAATTACAATTTTATATCAAATACAGTCAACACTTAAAATTGGATTGCTCCATATGATGAATGCATCACGGTTTCAAATATGTTTACATGGGGGAAAAAGTAACACTGTTATTTGATATAATTAAATACAGCACTTATTAATAATGGCACTCATTTTTACTTAGACACATAATATGCAATTAATACAATTTGCAGTTATGTGGAAATTAGGTGAATTTTCGATATAAAACATCAACTCGTTGATAGAGCATTGGGGAGATGCTTTGACATTACATCTGTATCATCGGCATGAACGCGTTTCCATTTCAGCGACATTTTTAACTGTCGCTGAAATGGTACTTTATATAAATTTGTATTTGTTCCAATTATGCTTGTGCATATGTGTATGTATGCCGGGGAGCGTTGGCACAGTGGTTAGGGCGCTGCGTCGCAAGCCCGGCGGCCCCATCTCGATGCTCGCTCACGGTCACCACCAGTGACGATTATTAGAACCTGTCCTGGGCCTTGCCTAGGTCGACTAAGCCTCAAATGAGTGCCTGGTGCGATGTGTAAGCATCGCCACTGTGGAGGAGACAAAGGCGGTCGGGCGTCGTGCTGGCCACCCACCCCCTCGTGCGCTAAAGCGCCGGCCTTGATATGTGCTCCGCGAACGCCACTTGCCCCAAAAAGTCTGTTTGTGTGTCGGCTAAAGAAATTAAAGGAGGGCTTCAGTGTGTCCGCGTACATCGCCGTGGCTCCGCACTCGTGTGGACGATTTTAAGAGCGAACCCCTTCGCGACCGTCGGGGGAAGGGTGACAGCGAGCGAAGTCCTGCATGATCACGGACTCTGCCGAGCTGCGTCACGTCTGCTCCAAAAAATTCCGTGGTCACTGGGATGGCTTGTGGGCTTTCTTGCAACACATGTAAAGATATAGACGAGGGACGGTACTCGCCATGGCAAATTTGCCCTGGTGGGATACCGTTGCCAGAGATGAAAAAAAAACTTCCAAGGCTGAGCTCAGGTCAATTTGTGTCAAATAGTCTGGCAGCTTGTCACGTGTCTCATTACTGTGATGCTGTAATATGGAAAAATGTTCGCGCATTTTCGATCGCGTACTCGCGGTGTGTCCGATACGTCTGCAGTCGAGGAGATGTTGGGAATTGTTTTATTTATATAACTGTAAAATATGATATATTTTTTTCCCAAAAAACATTAATTTTTTTTTTAAATATATATTTACAATTAAGTGATTTGGTGATTTTTTTGATAGCCAGTAATTTTGTTACGGGATAAAATAATAACTTTCGAGAGAAAAAAAAACTTTCGTGAGGATTTATGCAGGCATTTGTTGAAACATATGCTAGTTGTATACATCAATGCCAGTTGTGTAAGCATATATATTCCTCAATGAGACAAGTCCATATTTTATATACATAGCAATGTAATACCTTGACGGTGGTGTTTCCAGAAAAATACAATTAAATGTAGCATAGTACAAGAGTAATATGAATTGTAACTGTATGATATATAGCGGCTGCAATATTACTAACAACTGTTCTTAATGTTACAAGGTAAAATGGGTCTGGCCATAAAAGACTCGATTGCATTTATTTGTAATGGCATACAATAATTAAATCAGTCCGCTGGGGATCACTGCTTTATTGCATAATGCAATATGATGCGATTACAAATAAAGTTTGACAGGTACAGACTGAGGCAACAGTGGTGATGATGATGATGTTTTAAAATAACTCTAATATTATTTGAAGAAAACTGAATTCGTTCAAGCGTTGTGAATGCCACGTGTGAAATTTGTTCACATCTCCAGCTGTACGCGGAAGAATCGTAGCAATTCTTGTGCTTTTACAAGGATCGCCACCGCCTTAGGTGACGCGGTATTTTCTGCATCGCATTTTCGTCGGCCTATTGCCCAAGCGCGCGCGCACGCGCGTGCATAAATAAGTTTGAGAGATAGTTTGCACTGAAGCGTGCCGCCCTGCAAAAGGATCTTTTGCGTGCTTGATTTTGTTTCGGCTGCCATCCCCTCCCTCATCGTCTGGCCCAAAAGATCCTGTAATTACGACGTCAGAACCGCAACACCGGAGCGTGGCGATTGCGCAGCGCCACTGGACTCTGTAAACCTGCCCTGTACCCGACGCCTGGCAGCTAAGACACAGGCAGTGCTTCTCAGCAAGGAGCGAGCAAAGGGTGGGTGGGTGGGGGGGGGCGATGCGACTCTCAGTAGTGCAAAGTGCGTCAAAGCAAGTCGTAGATGTCAATCGCGGGAACCCACGTGGGAATAGCCATAGGGAAGCTGGAGGCAGGGTTGACTAATGGAAGGGTGGCGTGTCTGCGTGATGGGCACAAAGCCCACGTCACTCCACTTCCCTTTAATGCGAGTGTCATCCCTGAAATCTGTTGTGCACGTTACAATGCAGAGGCAGGGAGAACCGGCGCGCGGTTACAAAAAAAAAACACACACACACACAACAACTAGGCAATAAGGAACATTCGGCAAGTTTTTTTTTTTTGTGCTCGTTTTATTAGGTTTGACAGAGTAAAAGCGAAGCCTGTAGTTTTTGTTTGTTGACTCGAGGGGCAGCGAGGCTTGTGGGGGAGTGGAGGGGTGGGTGGGGGGGGGGTCATAGTGGGGGGGGGGGGGGGTCAGCGTACGAAGCGGTGCCGCCGCCGTTGCGACAGCGGCAGTTCTGCTTGAGAAGATGACAGTGAGAGATGTCGGTCCCCCCCCCCACGCCCCCGCGGTCGTTTCATGTGTCACGCGTCCAAGGCGGGCGGGGTTGGGTGTGGGGGGCTGCCGCTGCTGCTGCTGCCGGGAAGAGTCCCCCCCGAAGGAGCGGGCGTCACTCGGCGCCACGTCGCTTGTCGCCGCGCGTGCTATTTGACAGCTGTGGCACCGGTGGGGACTGGTGGGAAATGGAGACTTTGGGGTCCTCCGTGCCCACACGCGGCATTCCCTTTTAAAGATCTAGAGAGGGACCGTGCTCGCGTAGCTTATTTTTGCCCTGTACTTTTTTTTTAATTATTATTATTATTATTTTTGCGCTACAAAAGTCCTATGTTATGGACACCGGCTCACATTTCTGAATGCACTTGGATGTCCGCTGGTGTATACTGTATGTGAATGGTGCTCGCTGAACAGCACTTGCCTCTAAAGTCTGTTGAGGCTATGCGGGGGGGGGGGGGGGGAGTCTTTGTCATTGTCTTGGATTTCTACACACACTCTTTTGAAGCGACCTTTGACAAAGTGCATTGAATCGTGCGTTTGTCCAAGGGCTTCACTTGCGAATCTTTGAAAATTGATAACTCTTGTATTTAAAGGATTTAGTAAAAAAAAAATACAATGTATTTCCCCTGGATTAAAAAAAAGAATAAACTCCACTCCAACGAAGTTTGATTACATTATGGGTGCAATATAAATGCAAATAATATTAATGCTATCACTACGGTATTTTCGATCGCATACGATTTGACATCGCGCCGTGTGCTGGTTTTACGTTGCGAACGTTGGACGTAAGAGCATGGAACCTGCGGGCGATTATGTCGTACAGCAACAAATGTTTTGAACGTCAGCCTCGCGGAAAGGTTATAACTGAAAAAAAATGAAGTGTCTCAGAGTGTGCCAATTGGCACCCACGCATACATTCCATGAAATTGTCCTGCCAAAATAAATTTCATTTAAATTTGGCGTGTGTTTCAAAAAAACAAAACCATAAACCCTTTACGGTGCCTGTGCATACACATGAATAATGGAACGATGAAAATATATATATACTTTTACTGTACGTTGACAATTTGTTTCCGTACGAAATTTTTGTCACATTTCATCTCTTGGCGTATGAGCATCATGCCGGGTGTTCCTTCCAACCCGTTCCCGTTAATAAAGATGTGCGCTTTTTTGTCCATGCGCGTGCTTAGGCCATTCGTTGTACACTGGTAAACTGCAGCTGCGAGTGCTTCCAGCCGGGCAAGATTCACATCAGAACGTGTGACCAGTGCAAGCATGGCTGGGTGGCCCACGGTAAGAATTTCCCGTCTCTCCATTTTCAATATAACAACGAAATTGCACGACTGGCTCTGGACGTATCGAGATTCGTGTAACAGACTGCTAATGATCACATAGTTTACTGTGCTTTGGCAAGGCCACTGCTGGATGTTCAGGATTTTGCCCCGTGCCGTTTTTGGCTGTTTGATCATCACACTTGTCCGTACGGGCTGGTGAATTTTGAGGGGCGTCCCGGACCTGGTTTGGATATATCTCACCACTGATGTTGGCCACGGCCGAGAATCGAACTGAGACAGCCCAGGTTCATAGTGCAACGTGCTAACCACTGCACTATTGCTCCCTCCACTGCCGTAACACTGCCTTGTAAGAGGACCATGCATATGATACCAATGTTTCAGGCAATTTTTACATATATTGTTCATTTATGAAGAAAATTACCTTGCTTGAGATCGTCAAGTCAGTCTTGCACAGAGCACGCCTGCCGTTAGCTGCGTGTATACAAGGGACGTGCGTGTCCCCAGTATGGGTGCCGTTGAGTTGAACGTTGTTCAGCGAGACGTCACGATCTTGCTCCTGTGCGATTTCTTATTCACGCTGATAAACGACATCGGGATGATGGCATCGTCTAAAGCAGAGCCGCTGCTTGTAGAACTCCTCACTCAGATATGCAGTATTTTGCCATCGATATTTGCAATTGAGTTTTTGCTGTCATTATTTAGCAAGCTGTGGGGCAATTGTTGATGCGTGGATCTGAGTTTGACTCCCAGCCACGGCTAAAATCAGTGGCGAATTACATCTAAACCAGTCTTCCCAACCACCCAACTTATACTCATCAGCGCGATGAAGTACGGTCAAACAACCCCGCTGATGGACCAACACGAGGAGGCCTTCATCCATTAGCTATCAGCAAATGCTTGTAAATGTATTATTAAACTATCTGCAGTATTCATCAGGGTGACCCTTAACATTCACCTTGTTAACATACCTTTCTTCCTGGCAATGCCCGTTTAAAGGGCTTGAACAATACGATATCTGTATTGTTATTTAAAAAACGTCTGGTTTCCTTGTCAACATTTTTTTTTAAAGTGCAAATGCAAAACAATTAACAGGGCATAGCCGCACCTCCGCGTTGTTCCTAAGGCCACATCCATCTCTCATACGTGGTTGCTGTGCTTCACGTGGCCTAAAAAAATATGTCTCTTAATGTTCATTAGAACTTTCACTTCATTAACGTTCTCCGAATGTTCATATTGTCTTTTGTACCAATTCATGTCCTTTGAAAATCTTCTCACTCAAATATTTTTTCCTTGCGTGTAAATAATGAATGTAAAGGATCCTAAATGGCACTGCTTGAGTCGGACACTTTGCTCCTGTGTAATTTGATCCGCGACATTGTACCTCGCCGAGCAGACGTTTGTTACATCCGAAAAAATTACGTAGAGGATGTGAATTTAAAAGTTTCTGCTGAATCTACCTACTGCTGAGATTGCGGATCATGCTGAAGTGGTACAATTTTGAAAGTTTATATTGAGCCATTAAAAAGTTACCAGTGGTTGAGTTGAAATTAATCCTGATGTATTGAAGTAACTCATCCTTACTAATGATACTTTTCTTTTTTTGCAAGGTTATAAAAAAAATGTTTTATGATCAAATGTTTCTCCTGCTGTGTGTAGGTAGTGTTGATATAAAGTTATCTTAAGTGGCTGGTTTTGGTGACTTTCTGTACAATTTTTACACTTTGCTATTTTCTTTACTTTCTTTTGAATAAAAAAAGCTCTCAGAATTGTAGGTGCATTTAGAAATGAAATACATTTTGTGAGACGTGTACATTAAACATTTGCACAGTGGAATTTGTTTTACTTCATGAATTTCATCTGAAAATAAAAAAAAACATTCTATATATACACACACGCGCATCAATTGCACGTTGCATTTTAAGTACCCGGTAAATAAAAATTGCCAGTCTCTTCGACATCTAACTGCACATTTAATCCCAGCAGAGTCCTTGTAGGGAGGGGGACCACTTCAGCAATGTTTATTCCATTATTGCTATTTGCGTGCAAACATGTGCTTCATTACAGCAATTAAAGCCGTGTAATTAGAACTGTCGTTTCATATTTCGGCACAGCCTGCCTGATTTTTTTGCGCGCCGCTTGTTCGCACATCCGCTCATGAGTATTTAAAACCATTTAAATCTGCTACCTCCCTGTTTTGATTTGATATGCAGCGATGATCGCGCACAACAGCTGTTTGCATCCCGGGCTCACTCGATCCACCCAAAACCCTGGCATGTGGCTGTCGCTCGCAATTAGTGCAAGCGCCTTGTTGTCATTGAAAATAAAAACATCATCGTCTGCCTGGCTTGGACTATTCCGACGTTGCCCGGAGTGGGTTTTTCTTTTCCCTCAGCTGTTGAATATTCTATTCGTTGAAATTGCAGAAAGTGTTTCTAAAACAAGTTAAACAAAGTAAATTGGCTCATTAGCTACCTTTAGAATAATAAACAAATTGCTTTGTACAATCACCATTTTTTTAAACATCCTTACTGAATGAGAGGAGTATTTGGTCTGAAGCAAATTCATGGAAAGTCAAAATACTAAGTGTGGAAATATAAAAAAAAACTTTTTTTTCACGCTGAAATTTCTACACAAAGTGACATATTGTTGAGCACCCTTTTTTAAAACATATTCCCATTTTCCTAATGTTAAAAAAAAAGTTTTTCCCCACCACCAGCACCAAAAAAAAAATCATATCATGTTGCTTACATTTGGGGCTTCCAAATATTCCTTACAGGTTAAGCTAGCTGTGAGAGTTTGAGATAAAGCCAAGAAGAGGTAGGGAACGAAGGAAGCAAGCGCAGTCGGGGAAAGCTGCCAAAGGAGACCAGGGGAGATCTGTGTGTGTGTGTGTGTACAGAGCTAGGCAAGCGAGGGGGCCTTGGGAGCAGTTGTGTTCCAAGATGGAACCTCCGAGGCCTTCAGACGCCGCATGTTAGAATTAGAATAAACATTTGATTCTAGCCGAGGCCAGACATCGCACCGGCCTCACACTTGCAAGCCTGCCGAGAGCAGACCTCTCGCATGTCAGGGAAGCACGGCGAGAGGCGTGATGATCGTGCGGATTTCCAGCATTTGAGCAAAAGAAAAAAAAACCGCGGCATTCTTTAAATCGACGGAGAGCCACGGCGGGGTGGGGGGGGGTGTTATGCGCGAAGTCTGCGGTGGTGATTTGTTTGCGTGATACAAAGGCGAGACAGAATTAATGGGAATGTACATCGCGCGCATTTAGCAGAATGGCATTGGCTGCTTAGCATATTGCATGTTTAGTGTCATTATTAAATCGTGCACAGAGTGCGCATGTTGCGTGAAACGGGAATGTGGTTGCAGTCATTAGCAGTAAATAAAAAAAATGCCCGTAGCACGTTTGCGGCACACCAACCTTGAGAGAGGATCAATACAACATCATAAAAGTATTCACCTTTGAGTTGAAAAACTAAAAAAAAACACCTACAGCATGATTAGAGCCTTGATTTTATTTGAACACATAATTACTTTATGTGCTTGTTAATCAAAGCCGGTGCATTGGATGCGGTTTTGCGAAGACGCTTTGTAACCTGTTGTGTGTTCTCATGCTGCTGATGCACGCATCAAATTGAGACAGACTTATGTTATTAAGGCAACATAAATGTGCCATTATCAGCGTGACACTTTGTGAACATGACTACTCCGTGTAATTTAATTAAATACCATAATGTACGTTGCTTAATGCAACTAAAAAGGTTTAGTTTTTTTTTTTATGCACTGCTAGCTACTAGTTAAATACATCATACAAGCACCCTTTACACTGCTGCATAGTATTTTTAAAATAATATCTTTGCAAACGTGACAATCTTGTCGAGAAGTGGAGGAATGATGGCAAGAATTTTGGCATAAAACGACTACATGCTCTGGACCCAAAAATAAATATGGATTATAGTATTGGCTACAAAAACGTTCTTCATAAGTTGTTCCGCGTGAGGTCTTTCGTTTTCACCCCACATGCTGGGAGCTTCTGATTTCAAGAAGACGCTCCCAGCATATGGTGTGAAACGTCGGACATCGTACAGATCAACACGCAGTACAAATCTGATGCACGTGGGAGACGTCGACATCCTCTGTGCTGGTCTGTGAAGCTTGGTGTCAGGTGGATTGATGTATAATTTCAAACTCAAACTATGATCTTGCTTTAGAATTCAGAAGTTCGTTATTGAGGAGAAGAAGATGATGATGATGTAGATGTCAAAAAGAAGAAATCAAATTATGAAGAATATTTAAAATAAAGATAGCATAAAATCCCATAAATAGCATTACATAAAAGCAAAAATAAGAACAACTCCATCCCATGTCTCCACTTGGGAATAAATAAATATATTTGACCACATTGGCCTATTGGCTTTCCACACCAGCAGGATTTGTTTTAAGTCAGCAGACTCTGGACAGGTTTCGACCTTCTGGGTCTCATCACCAGAGTAATGCTCGTAAAGCAAATGCCGCTGGGGGTTACCAAATTTTATTGGCAAGAGCACTCCGTATAAACGACGGGGGGCCATGTGAGATGCACGTTACTTTAAGGGATCGTCTTTCTCACCTTCGCAAATTAGCCGCATCGTTAATCTGAGCAGTTCAATTTTAAGTTCTCAATCTACATAAGCGCATTTTTTTACGTCACACATTCATCTGCCTGGTTTTCAAAAACCCAACGCCAAGGTCACTCGCACGTGTGAAGTATTCCACTGCTCACGCAATCCACAATGGGAAAAACAAAACGGTTACCTTTTTTTTTTGTGCGCGGTACAACATCACGAAACCGACTGTCACGCATTTGCCAAGATCCATTAACCATCAACACCCAGGGCAGAATTTTTGTTATTTTCGCCATGCACAAAACGGCCCGTTCGTCAATCCGCTGCCGGGTGATGGCCTCCTCATGCCGTGCGGGTCAAGGGGTTATTTGATCGAACGTCACCACACTGGTCAGTGCCGGGCTGGTGCAGCAAATTTCTATAGGTGTCCACACATCCGACCGTATCATACGTACGCCTCTAACTTCAGAGTCCCGAGTGAGTCAGATACTTGACATTGTACTGTGATGTTAAACAGCAGACTTGACAGTTATTTGCATGCAAAGCATTCCTTATCTCACGTACATTCGCTCTCTTCTCGAGCGCAGTGAAGCATTTCCCCACGTGTAATGCAGTTCGCGCTTGACTTTATCCATTGACCTATTTGTGCGTGGTGTAACCATCGTTTTCTATGGATGTTCACTTATCCAACCTCTTCACATATCTGTCGATACCTCGACAGCCAGCAATATCTCAGATATAAGACGCCGTGCAGCGCTGTGATATCAGCACCCTTGTAAATAGCTTACCACATCAGGGCGCTACCGAAATTGTCGCTGTTACTATAATCATTCGACAGCAAAACGCGCAAGTCCTTTCGCTCACAATGTTGAACGCCTTTTCCTTTGCGGGCGGTGGTGGGTGGTGCTGTTGGGCGTGCGCGCGTGTGCAGCGCTGGACAAGTTGAGCACGCAGCACCTCTACCACCCGACGCAGGTGGAGATCGTGCAGTCCAACGTGGTGTTCGACATCAGCAGCCTCATGCTGTACGGCACGCAGGCCGTGCCCATACGCCTCAAGATCCTCCTCGACCGCCTCTTCAGCGTGCTCAAGCAGGAGGAGGTGCTGCAAATCCTGCACGGCCTGGACTGGACGCTGCGTGACTACGTCCGGGGATACATACTCCAGGTACGCACGCGCGTTTATCCGCGCGACATCCCCGACGCCCTTCGCAAACCCCCGTCCAGGCGCCACGGCGGCCGGTCGCAGCGCTCGTCTGTCGCGCGCATTCCCTCACGTGGTTCGACGTTGGGAATTCCCTCCCATCCATCGGTTTTCCTAAGTTCTTGTCAACCTTGCTCAATGGGGGGAAAAAAAAAACAACGTGTGTGAATCGTTACCTATGTCACCTTCAGTCATTGTTTGCTGGCCGTTTGGTTTTTTGGACCTTGGTGTGCTCAGCATTTGTGATATACAACAATAGTTTTAAAACAAGAGTTTTATTCGTCTTAAATTAAACATTTGCACTGGGTCAAGTTAATTTCCTACTAATTTGAGTGGGGCAGTGCCTATATCATGTTAAGAGCCCTGCTGAGGCAGTGCTTAAAAATCCACATTCCTTTGGCAGGTATATCCATGGGAAAAGCTCTTTACTGTTTAGAATACGCTTAAGTCTTTAATTTATAAAATGTGAGAATTAACGTGGGTTTGCTGATCAATTGAGCTTGGGGCAGTAGTCATATCCTGTTGTCAGTGGTGGGAATTCCACATTCCTATGGTGGAGGTGAGTATTGCAATAGTGCAACCGCTGTGAACTTCCCCACAAATTGATCCTCATTTTTAATGCACTCTGGAAGGATGGTGGGCTTTGCTGACCTCCGGCCTGGATATGAAGTCTGACTTTTGCAATTGCAAGCCATGCGTTTGGCTGCTGTGCCACACAATCGGTTTACACATGCACACAAAGATTTAGAATTCAAATGTATCTGTAAAAAAAAACCCCACAAGAGATGGTTAGAGCCAGTGGTGTTGATGCTACGACACACTTCACCAAATGTTCTCTAGATCCCATAACTATTGCACATTCATCACCTGACATATAAGGCAAATTAATCCTGTTTTAAACTATTATCGTATACTACAATTTCCTTCATAATACTCGGTCCATGATGTTTATTTTTTCGTACTATGTAGTTTGCTTTAAAACACATTCCTATTGCATGCATATGGCTGGTTGGCTGAATATTAGTGAACATTCCCTCTGCTCCTGACTTGAGAAAATGTGTTGTTATTTGTCTTGCTTGACCTGTCACTTATTGCGTACGTCTCTGAAGTGGCAGCGTTTTAATGCGGTATTTTTATGATTAGGGTGTAAAATGTGTCAGTAATGTTGCCGTTATTGTTATAATAGGCTTGTGTTCTTTTTTTATTGGCTCTGTTCAATAATAGCCAGACACATCACGAATGTGCTCCGTATACTCCCGACCTCCTGCTGCACCCACTCACCAGACTGCGGTTTTATTTATAAATCTGAGCTGCCATCTGCAATAAAACACTCTTGGGCAAGCTCCGCAAACACAATAAGTCGCACGTTTGCTCAGTAACATTCTGCAGTGCAGAAGATATACCGTATACATTAGTTCATATCACGGCTACTGTGTAGTCGGCTATGATAACGGCAGCGTTTCATTTTTTTTAGTACGTTTTATTTTGTTACTATGTTCATGAGGCACGCTGCCACTGTGTAATGGCCAGCAAGCTGGACTTCTGGAAAAAAACAGAGGCATCCGGTTCAATCTCTTTGCCGCAACAGTTGACACAATTTCTTAAACCCCTCCATAGCCACTCTGTTTTCCCAGCAGTGTAAACGGGTACATCACAGTTAGTCTCAAAGGCAGGTCATGCGTGGTGGGCAGAAGTGTGTGGGTGTGCTCCCATGGCTTCCAAGTCGTCTGGTCAACGTGGAAAAATATTCCGAAAATCCCTCTCGGGGGTGGGGGGGGGCGCTCGCTAAAGCTCCCTTGATTGACTTTACTGTATATACTTCACGTCTTCCAAGATCTATCGCCAGCGTGGAAGAGTAGGCCAAAAAATACCCTCTACAGGGGCTCCCTAGAACCCGCTTGAAAGTGGTGGCCCTTCCGCCAGCACTAGCGTGAGCAAGCAGTTGCAAGGGCTGCACCTTTATCTTGTACTGCAATCATGATCATATGAAGTTAAATATACTTGTCAGGATGGCTTTATTACACCCATGAGATGGCACTCTTCTGTATTTTACGGAGCACCAGAGCCCGCTTGAACATATGTGAATTTATGTTTTGTTACTTCGGTACGTAATACATTCAATTCATCACACTAGTACAATCCTTTTGACATATACATAACAATTATAATATGATGTTACAGTTATGACCAGTGATATCATTACAGTGAGATATTTACATCTACATGTTTACATTTTTGTTGCTCGTCACAATTTTTTGGCACGATTGTGTTCGTTGAAGGGAAAGTGTATTTGCATAGTGTAGGTACAGATATGTAAATGCTTTAAAATTAACTTGTTTACACATATTATGAAAAAACGTGAGATATTGTGACATGCCATCAAAGTGATTTAATGTGGTGCTCCCTTCGAGTTGTGTAATTAAGTACTTCCTTTGGCTAATTGGGAGTCATAACCGATGACTTCTTAAAATTAACCTTACCGATATAGCTTGTCATTATAATTGACACGCAAACAAAGGGCTCTATTGGGAGGTGCGCATATTCGGTGGTACAGCAATTGGGAAGGTGCATTTGATTGCCAGCAAGCTCTCAGATGAATGCTGGTCCAGTTGTTCGCGCACCGAACGACGAACCTCTCCACCCTGGTTCGATTCCCGGCCATGGCTAGAGCATCGGAGTGATATCCGAAGCAGCCCTGGGGGGCTGCGGCCCCTTTACCCCACCCGCTTCAACCACGGTGGTGAAGTAAGGTCAAACGAACCCCATGACTGACACGCCACGGTGGTGGAGGGGGGTGGTGGGGGGCAGGACTGTCATCCAGCAGTGGATTGATGAATCGCTGAAAATTATAACAAAAAATAAAATTATCAACGCGCAAGTGCCATTCAAGGCTTAGGATAGGTGCACCTCCCGGACAGTTTTGAAACCTTACCGTTGCTTGAACAACACTGGGTTTTGTCAGACGCTTTAAATCTCGGTGCCAGGTGGTCCTCAGTCAGAGTTTTTAGTTCCCTAGCTCAGGTGGTGTTTTGGGTTATGTGGTTTTTAAACTGCTCGGCTCATTGGATCCATGCATGCATTAGCCCCTCGGGGGGGGGAGGGGGGCTGGGGAAGGGGGCCCGTTGCTGTAAAAGGCAGAAGGGAATACTTTTCGTGCACAGTAATAGGTGTGTATGCGTAGGTAGTAAAAAAAAAAGAACCTCATAAGAAAAGGAAAATGCTCAAAGCTTGCACTTGTTGGGTCCCCAAACAGAAATCCTCCCTCTCTGTCAGCGGAAATAACCCCACAGGAAAAAAAATGTAGGTAAAGAAAAACCCCATCAACGTAGAAATGAATGGCCAGGAAATTCTGCTCGACATTTCTAGTAAAAGCAGCTGTCCGCCTATAGCAACTGCTCGCGATGAGCTTAACCACATGCGACAAACCCAAAGACTTCTTTTGATGTGTTGGAATGCATCGCACGGTTTTATTTGATGGAATAAAACCAATTAAATTGCAATTAGGTAAATTATAATAAACTTAAAAATTCAATAAAAAATTTAAGATTTAAAAACCGGGATTGCAGATGTAAATTCACGCACACGTGTAGAATGCCCTGGGTAATTACGTGTATTAGCAGTGGTGTCGTACACACCTCTATTACTTCCAGAGTTGAAACTCACTTTACTCTGAAGTACCCGGCCTCAGATAGAGAAAATAGTTTTGCCTTTATCACCAACGTTATCGCAATAGTACTGTGAGCCTCGTGTCCTGAGACAAGAATCCGTTCAGAACTCTCACGGAACATTGCATCACCCCATTGCTTGAAAATGGTCCGTGAAAGAAGGGATCACGGAAAACTGCTTCTGAGATTTCTTCAAATGATCCCTTATCCACAATAGGAGGCAGTTCATTCTGATCCACCCTGAGAGAAATGATTGTCGCATGACAGTCACACCAAATATTTAGGTTTTTTTTTAATTCTAAACGCTAAACGGAATTTTTATGTGAAGTCGTTGGTGACCGGGCTGGGACCCATCAGCTCACTACGTTTGAGAACACCTTTTTAATCACTGGCGGCTGTCCCACATCTGAACACAGGTTCTAAAATCTGGCATTCTCTCCGATGCCAGAGCAGTACTTTGACCTCTTGAGTGACCCGGCCACCTCCTTGGATTGAAACATTTAAATGAATATAATCGAATCGCTGAATCCTTGAAACAGTTAAGGAGCATGCAAGCGAGCCTCAATCTTGACAAAGGCGGAAGCTAAAAGGATGTTTAACAAAAAATACCACGTAACAAAGGTTTAAATTGTAGGCTTGGGATTCGCTATACTATTCGCTTTAAGTGGACACAAGATATTCACACCACCAAGCCATGCTATTAATGTAAAGAAGAGAATAGCGATTACTGCGAGGTTAAACGTACTCTACAGGCGTGAGCAAAAGGCTGTGATGTGTTCAAATTCACGAGGCGTCGTTATTTCAAGTACTTATACAAATGATCATGTGCTGCAGATGCAGGCAATAACATTAAAACTGAAATGACAAGTGTGAGATTCCAACGCTGAACCTTGAAATGTGAAAACACACAATGGCATGCGATTAGCTTAAATCATTCATTCACATATCAAATATGAGTTAATTATAGGCTCTTAACACTTGGCCAAGGGGGAATTCTTTTTCGCTTGCCGTAGAAGCTTCTTACCCTGTTGTGCATGCAAAAAGTGATCAATATAATTGTTTTTTATTGATAATTTTCAAACGTAGAGAATGTGTTCCACGTGTACTCTCCCACAATTGAAGCTTATTTTACAAATAACTCACAGCGGTTTGACAATCCGCTACTTGACAAAGGCTCACCACACATCGCATCGATCCTGGGGATTGCTTGACCATACTTCACCACGCTAAGCATTGTTAAAACAGTGTGCACTTGTGAAGGGAGTTGATGGAGTGGATGCCTGAAGGGGGGGGGGGGGC